GTGTTCGTTTAGGTTAGGGTTTGAGTCTATATTAAGGTGGGCTTAATAGTAAAATCGTTCAAGGAAAATTTTTTGTTAAGGACCAGGAGGCGATTTCCTATGCAGATTTTGAGTTATAAGCGATTTTTGTCAAAACGAACGTTTGTTTTGACTTTTACTGATCGTGTAACGTTACACTAAATCGAGATTCATTATTGGTCGATCATCACGTGAGCGTAAAATTACATAGTAATTTTGTTGGCGCACCTGGGGAAGTTCCTACCCTAAAGTAAAAGGCACGTGATCGGTAGGTGTCCGGAGACTTTTCCATTAAACATTAATTATTTGGTTTTAAGAAATTTCTCTCATGTGATTGACTATTTTATTAACCAAGTCTAGTTTAAAACAACACTTGTTTTAAAAAATAAGCCAATAAAGTAAAATAATAGTTTTTTAACCTATTTTATATATTTAAAAAAAAACCATATATGTACTGTACTTTAAACCTATTCTCGTAACTATAAATTTTCCGAATTTCAAATTTTAAAAATAACGATAATAAAATTGTCCTAACTCCAAATCACAATCCTAATGGTTTCGCCAAATATAAAAAAAGAAATTGGTAGGCAAATAAAGGTTTAACGTTATTACGTATTTAACTGTTAAGATACAGTATTACGCACATATGAATTTCGGCAAATTTTAATGCAACCGTTAAAATTTCCGAAGAAAAAAAATGTTTATTGCAATTTTTGGTAAAGTGCCACAGTGGCTGACCACATGATCCACATAAGAGACAGACACATGGCGCATTTAGCGTACTATAACGATAAGAATTTCTGTCAATTTTAACTTTACCACTACCGCTGCTTATAAAACTGTTTCAAATATGCAAATTTAGCTTAACTCCACCACTAACTGCTACTTATAACTGTCTCAAATATGTATTGCATGCGTTGGTTCATCCCTCTACTACTGCTACCTTTTCCGAACGCACCACCTTTCTTTGTGCTGGTTTTTTTGGTTTCATACTTTTTACACCAGAGACCATGGTAAGAAAGTGAAAAAATAAAGTGTTTTATATATTCGTAATGCTTGTTTTTTCTTGATCTTAAACATCTCTAATCAATCTCATCAACAAACAAACTATAAATCTAATTTTTACGAATTTTTCCTTTAAAAAAAAGCGTGTATTGTACAATACTTCTTCTAGCTCTATTTTTCAGTACGTGTTATTGGGGTCAAGGTCGTTGTTGGTTAGATACGAATCATGGCCATTTCCTTGAATCAAGAACAATTCATTCTTTAACGTCTGCATCATCGTCGTCTAATGAAATTGCGGGTGGAAATTTACTGGATTCTAGAGTTGAAACTAGGGATGTTAAATAGTTCGTCTGGTCTAGTTCTAGTTCAAAACTGACAGATTCAAGTTCAGACTAATTAGTTTAGTAGTTCATGATGTCATTTGGATTAGTAGTATATAATGTTATCCAAACTAGTAGTTCAAAATGTTATTAGTAATATTCTATTATTATGTAATTTATTTGTAATATATTATTAGATCAGTTACGAACTACTAGGTTAGACCAGAACGCAGTGGTTTTTTCGAAGATTAGGACTGGACTACTTCCGAATCAGGTTCATAGAAGGGCTCAACATCTTAACATCTCTAGTTGAGACCAAAACCTTTTCTTAAACAATGACATTATTACATAATTTGGGTTGAGTTGAAAATCTAGATTTCTACTTCATTTAGAATAATATCAAAACCCAAATATATGTTCACATTTTTGATCAATAGTACAATATCAACTCATAGTTCAAATTTATTAAATTAATGCTACATATAAATTACGTATTAAATTTTCATTTTCAAATTAAGAACGGTGTAATTTAGCAACCAAGCAGGGGTTGTTAAATAAATCAATGTTATATCTAACAATAAGTGAAAAATAATTATAAAAGCATCATAATAAACTTTTCGACCAAATTTTCTTCGAGATTGCCTAACAGTTTTTAGAAAAGTAAAAACCCTTAGTAAAAATCGATTCCTTATTGGTCCATTGGTTAATTGATAATGAATTACTCGTGATCATGATCTAAATACTATGATCAGAAAGTTACCAGTATTCATCCACAAAATTAAAAAAAGTATTATATAGCATTCTTAGTAAATTATCACAAAAACCCAATCATACCGCGTCAATAATCATTAATGCCTTATAGAAAAATGAACGATGCTATAGCATTCAATTCAGCACAATATCTAAAGTTTTGCTGATAAGAACTTTTTCATTAAAGACACGAAAATAATCGAGAATTAGCAAAGAAAATAATACGTTCGATGACCTTATCGACGAAACGTATCAGCTCTTTAACCGGTCACAAGATCTAATCTGTTCAAGCCACTAACGAGAACCAATGTTATGAAGTTTTTTTTACCAAGCATCACTTATATAAATCACTTTTCTCTAATAATAATAATAATAAAGTAAAAATAAGGAATCTTTAAGTACAATAATAAAGAATCCGTTAAAAATAGTCAATCCTTGCACAGTAACTAATAAAATACACCTTACTATATACTAAAGTACTAACTTCCTGTACGTATTATCAGAATAAGTTCCAATCCATTAGCCATAATATAAATTAAAAGTGGCTGACGATACGGCATATTTTTTTACCTGTTACATACTGTACGTACGTACGTAACATCGTAAATTCTATTTTGTGCCCACGGCTTAATTTGAATCATCGAATGGAAATTTTCTCTGCAAATGAACTGAAGTAACAAATCATATACCACAATTTTTTTTTTTTTTTGATTTGCATTAACTTACATATGTACGTACATATTTACAATATTATAGATAAATAACAATGGTTTATGGTCAAAAAATTGGAACGAATGATATTTCGGGACGTTTCTGCTGCATGGCACCACTTCACGTGCATTAACAAATCAAATGTCTTACATTAAGTAGTAATTCCAGCCAAGTGCGACTTCAGTCACCTAAAGTAGAAGTAGCAATTTCAGGCAAGCAACAAACTCCACGCCAGAGATTTGGGACATGGGCTTTGGATTAGGACAATTTTAATATCGATGTGTTTGGAATTGGAGTTGGTTGATAAATATTATCAATTCGTCATAATATTATAGATATCTAAATTACTCTTACTATAGTTTCGGTTAACCTAAATATTGGAGGAATTCCCTCTGAAATGTTTTGTTAGCCAAGGCTAGGCACGACGAAATTTATAAATGCCAACTCGACACGCCCGAGTTATTTGAGATAATTTCACTTGATGACAATTTGACATTCGAGTCCAAATGTTACACGATATCGCCTTTGTCTTATTTGCTTCTATGTATTGATATGCATACGTAAACTTTATTGATCAATTACTCTTTGCTACGTATTAATCATGCAGATAATATCTAACTTAAAATTAATATTATCGTTCCATTCGAATATCATATGCAGGGACGATGATTTCCTGCGGTGTCCGTGATGGAGATTGTACCCGGTAGAAATTGTTATTATATGGCTATAGTAAATCACCCGGATAACCGGATAATTTGACAATAGCCGATAAAGACTCTCCAGGGTACAATCTCTAGTCCGTGATAACTATATATAAAGGATAAATTCTGCAAAATTCAACGATTTGGCTAGAATTATATATAGTATACCAGCATTACAATCAGAAAATCCTGATCAAAAATTTAAAATTAATGTTATTTGGAATTGCTTGCAAATTCTAAATTCAGACAAAAAATTCATAATTACCATTTTTATAAGTCCATTCCGTGAACGCAGAAAATCGTCATCCCTGATCATATGCTGATTAGTCGATCCGCATGTGATCGAAACTTTCAATAACGATAATTCTGCAATCGTTTGTGCGAAAATATCTCTTTTAACACTTTCATTATACATGTTCGAGCTAAACGTATAATAACTTTTAATGACACAAAACATACATAAATTAGGTGCTCGCAATTTCTTTGTTCACACTTAAAAGAGAAAATTTAGACTGTATTACAATAATTTTTATTGCAAAAATTAGTAAAATATATGCTATAGATAAATTTTAAATTATTGAAGAGGTTCATCACTATTTGAAATTCTATTTAAATGAAGATAAACATCCGTTCCATATCTAAAAAATGTACAATCCAAATTAAATATATATTCAGTACAAAATATTAGCGGCAATAAAATTTAAATACTTATTACCCTTCCATTGAAATAAGTTTCAGATCACCTCCGAAATACCTAGCATACTTTAATTTATTATCCAATAAGGTTTTTATGAAATTAGTATTAGATGTTATAAAAGACTTGGTCGCAATAAATAGACTCGACGTACCAATCTGCTAATCGGTAATCCATATCCAAATCCGGCCATTGGTGCTCTAAAATCTGTCTGATTGAATTCAGGGTCCAGTTTTTGTGGTTGAGCTGTTGAATACATATACGTCCATACCAAAGGAATATTACTTCTTGGTATTCCGCCTCCCTCATCGGATATTTTGATTGTAATGTCCTAAAAAATTTTTTTATTTTTATTTTTTATTTTTTATTTTTTTTAATTCTTGTTCAAGAATAATAAAGATATTATAGGGTTCTACCCTGAAATCCCGAAAATCAAAATCCTGAAACTTAATTGTCGCGTCATGTGATAGCATCTTATGATTATAACAATGATTGTGATAATCGGTTAAATATTATCACACGGTGCGACAATTAACTTTCAGGATTTTGATTTTTGGGATTTCAGGGTAGAACCATATTAGGTTATAATCTCTTGAAACATTCCGCTTCTCTACCTCTTTTCCTTCAGCAACAATTATTTTGATTGGTGGGTACTCGTCCACTTCACCAAATTTTTCAACAACAGCACGCAGACTGTTTTTCAGTAGTTCAAATAGCATATGGCTTAAGTGTGTCGGAACATACGTAAACAACAAATTATCGGAACAATATAATTGGACTTCAGGTGCGCGGAATAAGCCATAAAATTCTTCACATATAAATTTGGCATTATCGGCAGCTTCCTGGACAGCTTGGGCAATATTTGTTTTAGTACAAATAATACCTACATAATCTGACCGAGAAGATGGCTGATTCAGCGCGACATGTTGACCTTTAATTAGTTGAAATTTTATAACAAATGTAATTTGTGAAAAACAGTGACTTGGTAGTAGTATTATTTAAATTATGATATAATTAGAGGACTGACCAATCAGCATACGAATTCCTATGCGTGACATATAGAAGCGATCTAAAAAGGCCTGAATGTCTGTATCTATCACAGTCTTTGCCCTCTGTTGCTTATATTCCAGAATGCCTTGCGCTAAATTAAAAATGTGCATTATTATGATTCATTTTAACTATCATGTTACGATCAACCGTTTTTTATGGTCATAAAAAACCTTACCCTAATATTGAGGATTTTAAAAATCAGGACAAGTTTCCCACACTTTATGTATCAAAAATAGTATTTGATATATAATATACTTACTACTGTAGTAACAACAGGATTATGCCGTGCTTTGATCACTTGAATTAACTTTGTAAATTTTTCGTTATAATATTGAACTTCTGGAGGCCAGTTGTTGACATCATCAATCTTCGTATAATACCTTCAAAAAAAGAACGCGTCGTTACGGTCCAATTAACATGATACATAATTTAATATGAAAAGGTTAATTTTTATTTCATTATACCTGCGGCCAATTGGAATAGATTGTTTTAATATCCCAGAATGGCCTGGATTATTAGCCGGATGGGGAATGCTATCTGGTAATTTTTGAATAACAGAACTTGATAAAAGGCTCTCCCTTATATTGGATGGAAGTTCGGCTTTAGGAAAATTTATAAGCTCCTAAAATATCGTATATATTTAAAAAAATATAAAAGTTTTTCAAGAAACATTGTAAAATGTTTTTTTTTCAAATTTCATTTTAAATCAATTATGAACTCAATTATGAACTATTCATACCTCAAAAGACTGTGCATACCAATTTTTTACTTTGATTATTGATGGCATTTCGCTCAAATTATGAGGCAATTCTTCTAATTCTTTAATTCGATGTGCGATGCGAATCGGAAGCTCATCTATAAATAAATTATATAGAAATCGAACAAAACTTGAAAATTGAAAAAAAGACTATGAAATATATCGAACCCGCCAAAAATTGGGATGCTCTCAGCAAGGTTCCTTGAGAAGGATTTTGCCCTAAAACGTGCAAAATAAAAAAAAATTAGCAAGTTATTCGAGAAGCAATAAAATTCCAAGAGAATTTTAGACGCGCACCAAACATGACCATCTGTCTCAAAGACACGCCGGTTTGAGAGAAGTGTGCAAAATGGTTAATTTTATCTCGTAATTGTGGTGTAATTCTGTACGCCATATTTTTGAGTTATTGTGGGGTTTTGGTGAAAAACCTTTAAAATTAAGCATTAAGTGATAAAAACTATTTGGAAGTATCGATCGATTCGAGAGTGTTAAAAAAAATTTTAAGGTGTCACTTGATTTATGACTAAACTTGACTAAGCTTATAAATCACGATGAAATGACACATCCATAAATCCTGCGCATGATCGAATTCATCCAACTGGCTAAAAATTAGTCGATCTGATACCGAATGAATGTGATTTTTTCCGAAATTGTTTTTTCCTAACCGGAACTTAGAAACCATAGTCGGAAGTCATTATTATAAATGACGGAATTTCCCGTCTGTTGAAAAATCGAGGCGAATCTCCGGCATTTTATAATAGGTTTTGTGCTCTGTAATTGACACTCGAAAAAACCAAATGAATAATGTACATCGATTCCAATCTCATTGGCAGAAGCTTGTCTGGTGGGTAACTAATTTATACGTTTTAGAGTACCTTGTAAGAACGTAGCATTGCACAAATAAACTGTTGCTCAAACTTTCTAAGTTCTAGGAAGTTAACTTTAAAAATAATATCTAATAAGATCTTAAGTATGCTTGCTTAGTAACGACTTTTTTTGACATATGAACAATGCTTCTTCCGACACCTTTCGGTGTGATTTGATATTCACGTATCGGTATCGGTATAGACTGAAAATCCAACCAATAAGAAAAACTTCTGCCTATGAAATTCCAATCACTTGCTTACCGAAAGGGTCATTCGGGACGAGTTTAGAACCCAGCCCGGGTAGTATTTTGATGTTTCGGGTTAGGCATAGATTTTAGAATTGGCATGCCACATGGCATGCCATGCCAAATTAATTTGTGCGTGCCTGGTCAGCTGCAGGCTGCGCATGCTGCGCAGCGGATTCGAATCATATAAGTATACTATATATAAGTTTAGTTCAAAGTTAGCATTAGTCGTTTCTGCCGGATAATGTCTTCACAACATTACAAAAAGAAACACCATTATGAAACGCCACTTGTAAAACTGTCAAAATCCTTATCATATGTCCTTCGTCACCACGCTAAAGACGAAGGTCTAGATATTCGTGAGGACGGTTACGTCAAATTAGACGATTTGGTATGATTCAACTAAATTTACTAAAATTGGCTTTTTTCGTGTTTTATCCGAGTAAAAATTTATTCAATGCATTGTTCTTATGGGATCAGTTGAGATTACCGAGATTCAAAGGAACGACTTTTGAAGATATTAAATTCGTCGTTGATAACAATGATAAAAAGCGGTTTACTTTGACGCAAGAAACATCAGATGATGGAATTTCCTTGTGGTGGATACGAGCAAATCAAGGGCATAGCATTGAGGTATGATCCTTTATTTACTACTTTTTGAATTTTTTCTCAACAATTTTGTAATTTGTAGGTGAAAAATTTGGAGCTCGAAGAAATCACGGATCATTTGCAATTTTCAGAAATAATACATGGAACATATTTGCGCAATTGGAAAAATATAGGTTTATTTTATTGTGATTAGCCATTGCTGTATTTTTTTTTTTTTATCAAGTTAAATTGACATTATATTGGTAGAATCACAAGGCCTTTCAAGGATGAAGCGCAACCACATTCACTTTGCTTCTGGGCTATTTGGAACCGAAGGCGTTATAAGTGGTAAGTATTATTGACGTATACTTATAACTTAGTAGTCCTTTAATTTCAATCTATATTCTTGTTGAAAGGTATGAGAAAAAATTGTGACTTGTTCATATATATCAATGCTCCAAAGGCTATGGAAGGTTTGTATTTATTTCATAGTCGTTCTTAAAAACTCAATAAGTTTTCTCATTTTTTTAACAACATAATTATAAAAGATGGCATTAGGTTTTTTAGATCAGCTAATGGTGTTATATTAACAGAGGGTGTTAATGGATTTCTGAATTCAAAATATTTTTTAAAAGTTGTTGATCAACATGGGAAAGTCATTAAACAAGCCAATTCGTAGTCTAATTTAATAAAAAGATATTAAATAATTTGTGTTAATTACATACTAAAATAGGCTCTAATGAGTGCATAAATTAAATATATAATACTTATCAAAATTGTGTAGCAGGAAAAAACTGGTAAACAAAGCGGATAACAAAAAAAATTAACTTTATATATGTAGTACTTCAAATTGGAATTGTTTCAATTCGCAATTGGGTCGTCCCCGATAAAAATTTCTCGTTTCTTTTTTTTTTTTTTTTTTTGCAAAATTAGGGTTTGAGTTAGGGTTAGAATTAGAGTTTACAACAAAAAATTTAAAGGTTTATCAGTATAATTTGGGCCAAAATATAAAATTCTTATCTGAGACTACATTTTTATTTGGAGCATAAACATAAGGAAGATGGGGTATTGTGGTCACCTTTAATATTATAACTAATAAAATATGGTCTAGTGATTAGAATTAAATAATTTTAATATTATTATATTTGTCTATTAAGATGAATCAAATAATGTTAAAATTATTTAATTCTATTAATTGAACCAAAAAATATAATTATTCTAACAATTATTATAAAAAATTAAAATATTGGATAGGTGAGATCAATTTTTTGGCAGTGAATAACTTTTGATCCACCAGTTCATTTTGGATGATTTTGCCACCAAAATGACCAGTCCAGTGAGACGATTCTCATGAGCCCAGACTCATTAAACCATTAAAACTTAACCACGGGATCCCGAGATCATTAATGATTTATTTACATTATAACAAATCTTAGCGATTTCTGGACCCGTGATTGGATTTTAACAATTTTATACTCGTTAAAATCGTCTTATGAGACAGTCATCTGATGGTAAAAATTATTCAAAACGGGCTGATGTATCAAGAGTTATTTAGTGTCAAAGATTTTATATATTTTTAATAAGTTTAAATAAGAATTACTTTATTCTTATAGTAAATCTACTGTCTATGTTTTACATATATATTATCTAGATTTTAGTAACTTATATCTCAACTGTAGCCAAGTACTTGTGGCCTTTTATCTCTGCTATTGTTATCTACTCTGTGCTCTTGCAAAGTTTACTCAAACTTCAATATATATTTTACAGACTATCAATAATATTTCAATACTCTTAGTCACTTCAAATTTCTAATTCAGATAGCCTAGAAAGGCTATAATTTGCTTCTGTTCTCTATAGTTAGATTTTTTCTTTTAGTTACTTCTCTAGTAGTCTAATTAATAAAGTGTCTTGTTTAATACTTTGATCCTATTTGGTTTGCTAAGTATTTAGTTTTTTAAATAATCTTTTATATAATATTATCAAAAATCTATACTTTACTTAGATTTTACTAAGCAAGTTTCTGTACTTCAGATTTTTTAGATTTATTTAATTACTTTACTTAGGTTTTGTATAACTTATATATATTATATTATATATATTTTACAATCTGTTAGTATAAGCTAATATAGATTATTATTACAAATACTGTTTAATTAAATATAAATATAGTTTATTACTGTATATTATAGTATATTTTATAAATACTATATAAATTTTATTTTTAATAAGATTTGAACTTTTGTTTTGCTATTTAGAAGAATAATAATCTATTAACTACACTAGGTCATTATATTCTAAAAATAAAAAATTTTGTATTCAACTTTATACTAATTTTTTTTTATTAACTAGCTTCTTTGATATAGGAATTTTATTTAAGTATATTAGCTTATAGTAGAATACCAAATTACATTAGAAAGTACAACTAGCCACACATATAACTTTTGATTGCTTATTTAAGTAGTTCGCGTATAGATAATTGTACATTATAGGTTTTATATTAGCTGTCATGCATATAACCCAACTAAGGAGATTATCTATTTAAACTCTCTGTAATACAACCAGATCCTCACTTGTTATTATTGGAACATCTTTGCTACTTTTGTTAGTCAAGATATACTAGATGCTTGTTGTAATTTAGGACTAATTTATCCTCGAAGCATCATTGCTAAAGCTTTTCATACCCACAATCTGGCTAAACCTAGACTATACATGATAACAAAATTATTTTAGATTTCGGAGTACAAAATTAAAATATAAAGACAAAATTGTTTTTGATCTATTTTACTTAAAAGATGAAATTTTTTGACACTTTTTTGAAAAGATAAAATTATAAAGAACATAACTACTTAAATTAAATTTGTTCTTGCATATAAAAAATTCTAAATTGCTCTAATGAAGATGAAATAGAGGATTTTTGAAAATCTATTTCAGTGGTATGTATAATCTAGACTTCAGTAATTTATGTCAAGTTTGAAGACAAGTACTTGCAAGCTGAAGCCATTATCATTATCTACTTTTGTCTTTTAGAGTTCACCTAAATCCTAGCACTTACTTTTCAGACCCTCTACCATTTTATCAGTCCTCAAACTCCCAATTTAGATAGCCTAGAAGGGTGGACCCCTTCTCTGAAATACACCAGTGGCTGGTTAATATAGTGCCTTGCCAAATACCTCGGTTTCATTCAGTTTTTAGTTCTTCAGTTGATAATCTTTTATATAACACTGTCAAAAATCTGCACTATTTCTTTACTTGAGACTTGCTAAGCAAGCTTCTGTATATCCCAACCTTTAGATTTATCTGATTGCTTCACTTGAGTTTCATATAACTTATACATTACACTAAATATTTCACAGCCTTCCAGTACAAGCTGGTATAACCAAAGCTACAGATCTGATGATCCATTAGATTACACACAGTCTGCTGTAACACATTCTATAAAATTCAAATTTAGTCACCAGTAGGATTCGAACTCTTGTCCTGCCACTTGGGGTGCGATAACTTACCAATTTCACTAAGTCATCACACTCTCTTCAACTCTATATTAATAATATAATATATATCTAAAAAACAATATATTTATAAAAAAAATACGCGGAGGACCATTTATTTGACGGTCAGACCCAACGTACAGGGCAGACTATGGAATCCTGCGCAGCTGTGAGAA